GCAATATAACATTTTAAGTCTGAGTATTTAGACCACCTGATAAAGGAAAGAAAGTCTATGAACATTTGTTCACCTTAAATAATGCCTTTGTAACACTGATTAAATTCATAGTACTCCTTTGACCCAATAGAAGCCCGAACCATAACACAACCATTCAACATTAAAAGAGGTATAACTCACACAAAAAAGTAGTCCCTGTATAATTTCATAATTTATGTCATTATAAATTCTTTACCAATTATATTTCTTGTTTTTCGGATCCGCCGGTTGTATTTTTTTCAAGAATAAGAAAAAGAATAAAAATGAATTTTGCTCAAAAAATAAAATCCTAATGTTAATTAAGAAATACAGTTCGCTCTACCGCCATGTATAGTGTAATAAAACACACTTTCGCCCTGAACTATTATAGTTAAAGTACGAGGATGCTTGTAAAACAAGAAATAAAATTGGTTTGGCTTTACTTGGCCTATCATTTTGTCACCATGTAACCGACCTGTTAGACATTAAGGTAAGGCAACAAGGAAAAGGGTTAGGGTGGTACCTTGTATTGTCTAGAAGCCAAAACCATCGCCACTTTTACAGGACACAAAAAAAAAAAATTCATGAAAAAGATTTTTGAGAACTTTCTTTTGTGTGTTGGTAAGTTTTCAGAAATAAATTTCTCGTAAACACTATCGCAATGATTCGGACTGGCTGCCGTGTTGATACCGTTAACAAAAGATTGAGAGTGGATCGTAATTCGCATTTTGATTGTTCTATTATACTGTAGTGTACAAATGAAACTGGCTAATGAAAGTCAAGAGTTGTTAATCTGAGATCGCGTACACCATGGTAATGGCTTCATGGGTTGCCGAAGGTTTACCGAAATATGAGCTACAGAGATGAGACAAAAATTGTCTTGAAGCCCTGACTGGCAAAATACTCTCCAAGAATACTTTCCTCCCCAAATATTGAATGGTTTGTTTTTTAAAATTATTTGTACTATCTTACTATCCACAGGACCTGAGGATCAACCTTCCATCACTCAATTTATGTTGTATCACATACACAGAAGATATGAGATTGCTGGCAAAATAATGCTATTGACAACCAAGTCAGTCTGAGATCGCGACCAAAAAACAAAATAAATATAATTTAAAATAAATCCAGTTTCAATATAGCAGAGTCACAGAATTCAGTCAGTCATGTTGGATTTTGGCTACACATAAAACGAAGCTGCTGATACTATAGGAATACATTGTACAATATTTGCATAAATTTGCATATTTATATCACGGGAATCAAGAGGCTATACAGTCAATAATACCAAATACTGGAAGCTCACTTAATTCAAAACACATATCAATTAGTGCAAGCTAAGACTTTTTACATGGACACCTCTGATAAACTTGGATATGTAATAGCTGATATATCCATAGATATGACACTCTGTATGCAACCCTGCAAATAAGTCAATATCACATCATATCCATGGATACGGCATACATATGTTACATATCATATCTGTGCACATCCATGACATACAGCATCCATATGTTAAACATCATATCCATGGATACAGCATCCATATGTTAAACATCATATCCATGGATACAGCATCCATATGTTAAACATCATATCCATGGATACGGCATCCATATGTTAAACATCATATCCATGGATACAGCATCCATATGTTAAACATCATATCCATGGATATGGCATTTATATGTTAAACATCATATCCATTACTATAGCATCCATATGTTAAACATCATATCCATAGATATTGCATCCATATATTAAACATCATATCCATGGATACAGCATCCATATATTAAACATCATATCCATAGATACGGCATCCATATATTAAACATCATATCCATGGATATGGCATCCATACGTTAAACATCATATCTGTGGATATGGCATCCATATGTTAACCATCATATCCATGGATATGGCATCCATATGTTAAACATCATATCCATAGATATTGCATCTATATGTTAAACATCATATCAATGGATACAGCATCCATATATTAAACATCATATCCATAGATACGGCATCCATATATTAAACATCATATCCATAGATACGGCATCCATATATTAAACATCATATCCATGGATATGGCATCCATACGTTAAACATCATATCTGTGGATATGGCATCCATCTGTTAACCATCATATCCATGGATATGGCATCCATATGTTAAACATCATATCCATAGATATGGCATCCATATGTTAAACATCATATCCATGGATATGGCATCCAAATGCTAGACATCATATCCATGGATATGGCATCCATATGTTAAACATCATATCCATAGATACGGCATTTATATGTTAAAGATCATATCCATGGATACGGCATCCAAATGCTAGACAACATATCCATTTGTTACTGCATGTTACATATGGCATACCAGCATAGATATGTTATCTGATATATACTGAAGAAAAAAGGTAATGGATCATAAATATTTGTACAGACATATTTATTAAATTGGTTGCCGAGTCATCACTGCCAAAAAATATCTCCCAAATATTCATGACCCTTAACTTGTGTTTTATTCACTATATTACAGATCATATCTAAGGCCATCCTCGATAATCTCCTGGGTATACGTTACGGTAGCTCTCCACTATACCCTGGATGCATCCACAGCTTGGCCCGATGATTTTATTACCTCCCTTGGCTGGCTTTTTATCCAATCAGGTGCCTACGCTGGGAAGTTGAGCATACCAATCACAACTCACTTTCGCTTCCTAAATTATCTAACCGTTTAAACTTGGCAACACAATTGATGCAGAGGTACTCTGAAAGAAGTAGAAGGAGCTCTTTCATATATTTTTTTTAAAGTTTCAGATCTGTCAATTTGTCTTTATTATTTCCAAAAATATCTGAGTGGCACTGCGAACAAACCTTCACGACTGCGACTGCTATCATTGTTGACACTGGCAAGCTCGGTTGTAACGGCGGCTTAGCTGATTGGCTACTGTGAGAATGCAGGGCCAGCCAAGGGAGGTAATAAAATCATCGCCCCCGGCATCCAGGGTATAGTGGAGAGCTATCGTAACGTATACCCTGGAGATTATCGAGGATGATCTAAGGCTATATGACACCCTATATGCTACAAGTCATATCCACTCTAATCGAAATGGTACCAAATAAGACACCTTATACATTACACAGTATCCAGCATGATACTGGATATAATGTCCTACATGGTATCAACATTCTCAGTGAGGAACAACTGTGAATTATTGGTTGGAACTCACCCCAGATACGTGACTAGTCAAAACAGTAATATCATATCCACTAACTGTTGTCTGGAGTGACCTCCCCTTGCCTATGTGTCCGGAATACAATCCATAATAATAGCAATATGAAATCGCAGTGTTCTGAAAATAGTTTGGATCACTCTATAAAATGAAGCGGCTGTTAGTGAAATTATTTACAACCACTTGTGCTTAAACGTGACGTGAATTATAAAGGGCTTAACAATGGTTATAAACATTGAGTAATTCTGTACAAACTGTGAAGAAGGTCCCATTTTACGCAAGTCAAATCTCAATGGGAAGAAAATCCCTCTATCATGACTGTGGTTCCGACATACAAAGGATTATAATCATAGAGAACGTTGATCAACCCTTCAAAATCCACACAGTTAATGGAAATACCTCTTCAGAGTCAGATGCATATTCTCAGACTAATGTGCTCCTCAAAAATCAACATCTGCAATTTTCACTCTGTATATACTTTATGGACTGTTAAAGGACAACTTCAGTAATGATTGTGACAGCTATACAACTAGTTATATACAAGATATGCACAGGGAAATACATCACCATGCATCAGACTCTAGCATGGCTCTCTGACTTAGGCAATCAAGAGTTAGCTCCCTTTGTGAATTTTGGCGAAATCCTCTGCAAAATGTAAGATAAGGACAAATTATGGACAATTTGAGATTTATCACAGATTGTAAATTAAAAACAAATGCCCAGATATGAATCTAATGCCAATACATTTATGATTGTACAACTGATAATACAAAGACATCTAACTGCTGGAACTATTTGGTAGTGTCACTTGAAGATACAAACAGGTCTCGCACTGGTACTGGATCCAAAATCATGAAATTTCAAATCATCCTGTTGTAATATCAAAACAATTATTGATAACAAATTTACAGTTGGCAAGAACCTTAACTTTCATTCACAAAGTAGTATACATTCTTACTTCTAACAATAAAAGTGAATCTTGAGCACATGATTCCAAATGGTCGCCTAATAAGCCTCATTCTGAATTCACATGATCAAAATACAAGACAGGACATGAATCAAAGTAAGTTTGATTTTGGGGGCTGCAGTGCCATATGTTTATCTATCTACATGTATTTACACTGCATAAATTATGAAAGGCTTTGTACAATGAAAATGAAAAATTAGGGGTGTGATATAGAGCAATACAAACTAGTGCTGTATACGCATATTCAATAAATGTATAATTCTGGTAATAAAACGTTGGTCAGATTATGTTCCACATCACTCTGAGATAATCTAGGACACTTTAACACAATCTGCATTGACCCTTGTCTTATTGACAGGCTCCTTCGTGCCAGATCTGCAGTCTGTTTCTGTTGGAGCACAAGGAAGTCCAAAGACATCTGAACACACAGAAGTAGGTCAAACTTGAGGAGACTTGCAGAATCAGGTCCCCATGCTTTCTGAAAAGGGTGAATTCATTATTATAATTTCATTACATTGCTTTGTTCTGGACAGATTCTGAACCATTATCCTATTTTTCCAATCTATTGTTCTTTGAACAATGGAGGAAGGGCTGAGTGACAAACTTGTATTGGCTTATATTATTACTCCCTGCTCACAAACTGCAATCAGACTGGTTCTCTGGTGGTCTCTTGTCACAAACAGCTATCTAATTGGCTCTTTTGTAGTATTTTGTCACAAGCTGCTTTGTGATTGGCTCTCCTGTAGTCTCTTGTCACAGACTGCTTTGTGATTGGCTCTCCTGTAGTCTCTTGTCACAGACCGCTTTGTGATTGGCTCTCCTGTAGTCTCTTGTCACAGACCGCTTTGTGATTGGCTCTCCTGTAGTCTCTTGTCACAGACTGTTATTTGACTGGCGCTTGTATAACCCCTTGTCGCTTTCATTCCTACTCCCTACAATACCATTCAACTGGCTATTAATCCTACTTTCAGGTCACACTGTTATTTCATCAGTTTTCATTTCTACTTTCAAGAGGTGTATCAATATTTGACTGGCTCTCATTCCTAGACTGTAGTAGTCTCCTGTTTGACTGTCTTTCTTTTAAAATCAACACATATGCTGCCACATGACTGGCTCTAATTCCTACACTCCAGTCTCCTGGCCCAACTTTAGTGTCCATGGCAGTTTGGGCTGTGCAGAAAATACAAATTTAAAAGGTGCTGGAGATTCTTAGATTCAGTGATGAAAACACCCACTTGCCATGACATGATGCTCAATATCAACTCAATAACATTGCAACAATTTATGAACATGAAACAATTTGTTTGCTGGCCTTAAAACCATTTGATGTGTAAAATATTCTTGCATACAATTCAGATCACTGACATATACACCTATCTTTTCATGGCTGGGAAACAACATCATCTAAACCAAACTTTCTGCACTGTCAAAAAGGGAGATAACTCCAAAGAGAAGGGAGATAACTACTATGAATGAGGAGATAACTCTAACAATGAGGAAGCCATCAATGTGATGTGTACAATCTAAAAATGTCCAACAGACAAATGACTTTCATACTAGTATATATCTGATGAAGATTTCAATGGATTCTTTTTGCAGAGACATTTTGCCATTGTATGGATTGTATATTAAGTTAAGCATTCAAGTATCGTTCTTGTTATTGTTTATCAGTAAAATATAATTAACCTTAACAAGTAACCACATTAGTTGGATTCGTATATGAAATGGAACATTTTTAAAGCCCATTTGCTGTAGATTTTGGGCTGAATACCAGCCTCAGAGAATGTCTTGATATAAACTCGGGTTTGGATACCAAACTCGTTACTTATGTTTTATTTCCAAACTTCATCCTTACACACACAATGAGTTTAGAGCCACCCATCAACAAAAGTAAAACTGTACATGTGGAAAGTAAACACACACTTTTGACACAGCTCCTAGTTTCACAATAGACATGTTCAATTCACATACAATCTTTCTTCAACATAACAGGTGCAGGTGAGCAGAGTGCTGAGATTCCAAGGGAGATAACTCCCGTGATGAGGGAGATAACTGTCGCCGTGAGGAAGCCATCAATGAGAAGTGTATTATGTCTGTTGATGGTGGTCCTATGCTATAATGATGTTTCACTGGTTGGTGGCCTGACACCATCACCTTCATACATTGAAATTCTTTGTTTCAAAATCCGAATCTGAAAAAGCAAAGAAGAATAGGTTCAGAATAGTTGCATATCATATTATTCAAGCTGCTTTGAAGAGCACAAGTTTTTCACCGTTTTACTAAGGGGAGGCAATTTTGATGTTTCTGTTATCTCACATGTCTCACAGTATGAGCCAATCGAGTCTCATATCTCGTATAAATCCACCTATCTAAGACTCATATCAGTTATCCAACTGCTTGAGCGTTATATTTGACTGAAATCCAAATACTTGAATCTCATATCTCACTGTATTCACATGAGCCTCCTATCTCAATGTAACCACCCAAGTCTTCCGTCTCACTGTATCAATCCATGTCTGATGTCTCACCATATCCACGAAAGTATCCAGTCTCACTGTCTCCACCCGGGTCTCCACTGACTTCAGTCTCCTATCTCACCATATCCACCAAAGTCTCCTATCTCACCATATCCACCAAAGTCTCCGGTCTCACCATATCTACCTACCTGAGTCTCCTATCTCACCATCTCCACCGACCTCAGACTCATATCTCACCATACCCACCTGAGTCTCCCATCTCTCACCATATCCACCAAAGTCTCTGGTCTCACCATATCTACCTACCTGAGTCTCGTATCTCTCTGTCATGGATTGCAGCTGCGCCTCCAGCTTCTTAAGCTTACTCTGGTACTTCTTTTTCGCTTTGTCAAAAGCTGATATCAAGGCACTGAAACAGATTTCACATTATTGTAGCAAAAGTCACAATTACCACTGACCCCTTCACAACCTACCCTTCAGAAGATGACTGAAAAAAGCATCACAGAAGAGCCAAAAAGTGTGAGTGAGTAAGTTGGGTTTTATGCCACTTTTAGCAATATTCCAGCAACATCATGGCAGGGGACACCAGAAATAGGCTACACACATTGTAGGGAATTGAACTCATGCAGGTCTCTGATGTGAAGAGTGAACACAGTCATCGCTAGGCTACCCCACCACCCCCTATGCCCAAAAGAGGCTTGTGAAGATTCAGGCTAGCATCTTCAGCAACCTCTGCTCGTCAGAAGAGGCGATTAACAATATCAGGTGTTCAGAGCATAGCTAATGTATGTCATCATAACCCAGTTGGGTAGATCATATCTCATGATATCAAACACTGGATTGTCTGGTCAAACAACAAACAAACACACAATATTCCTTTTTAACCTCTTTTCTTTTCAGCTGTATTAAATAAAAACAACAACAGGGCTACATGCATCTTGTTATAATTTAAACAAAAACATATATACTCAGCAGCAAAAAAACGTCAGTACGAATTCAAAATTAGATAGGCACTGTAATCAAATCATTACAGAAATGGACATAATAAGAGGATCAAAAACGTTTTTTTGTGTACAATAGCCTGACACATCAATGAATAACTCCAAGACATTACGTGAACGTTTGCAGTCCATTCAGACTCTTGACTTCAGTATCTAGTGTGACCACCATGAGCGGCAATAACTACAGCACAGCGTCTATGCATGGAGTGCACCAATCGATTGATGAAGGACATTGGCACCTGGAACCACACTCTTAGAAAGGCCTGGCGCAATAAATCGGTTGTGTTCGGCCTTGGTATGACATTATTCAGTCTCCTCTGAATTTCATCCCAAAGATGTTCAATTGGGTTTAAATCAGGACTAAGGGCTGGCCACTGCATAATGTTGACACCGTTCTGCTGTAGGAAGTCCCGTGTAGCTCTGGCAGTATGGGCCCGGGCGTTATCATGCTGGAAAATGTTGTTCCAGTGACGTGCGAAATGTGGTATGATGTGGGGTCTGAGTGCTTGGTCGATGTAGCGCATCGCTGTTATGCCGCCTCCACTCCCTGGACCAAGGTTCTTGAACACCACAGGACCCACTCTCTGGTTCAGGCCTATTCCACCCCATACCATGATGCTTGCACCTCCCCATGAATCTCTTTCCATAACACAATGGTCTGAGTAACGCTGGCAACGTGGTCAACACATTCTTGTTCTGCCATCCGCAGTTGATATGCAGTACCGACTCTCATCTGTGAACAGAACAGTTCTCCATTGCCTGTATCGCCAGTTTTGGTGTTGTAGGGCAAACTGTAGACGTTCACGCCGAAGATGAGGGGTGAGGATAGGTCCACGGTAAGGTCTATGGTAATGGAGGTTCCCGCTGTTAAGACGTTGGCATACTGTATCAGTACTGATTGGTCTTCCGTATGTACCAACTGTCTGGCGTGCTGTTTCGGATGCCTGCATGAAGGGATTCTGTACATGCTGTGGCACAACATGGCGGTCTTGTCATCTTGTGGTAACCCTTGGTCTGCCAGTACAGGGGCGATCATTTGTGGTGTTGGTGGCCCAGAAACATTGCTGCAGCCTGTAGACGGTCCGAACGTTGACCTGGAAGTGATTGACAACGGCTTGTGCAGTGTGGCCAGCTTCAAGTCTTCCTAGCGCCTGGTTCCTCTGAGCTGTCGTGAGTCACAGCATCCTGCTGACGTTGTAATGTGAATGTTTCAACCAGGTTTGGGGGTGCAATTTATGGGCTGGTCCTTGTGAACAGCACATGCAGCATGAGTTGCATGGAAAACATGGAGAACACCGTACCATCTCCGAGATGAGGTTGCGATTTTGAGACCATTTCCTGGGTTCCATTCTGAGTTTGGCAAGGAATGTCTTTGTTCAGGTAAAGTTGGAGATGTAGTCAAAAACATACAATCAAAACATTAAATGAGTTAACAGTTATCCGTTTTTGCGAAGGAAACTTCCAAACTGACGTTTCTTTTACTGCTTAGTATATTAAAAATGCTTTGAATTGCTATTTCACAGTGTGAGTGTGTCAGTTTAGTTATATGCTACTTTTAGCAATATTCCAGCAATATCATGGCAGGGGACACCAGAAATGGGCTTCACACATTGTACCAATGTGGGAAACCAATGTAGGAAACCAATGTGGGAAACCAATGTAGGAAACCAATGTGGGAAACCAATGTGGGAAATCAATCTCTGGTCCACTAGGTGAGTGATCACCCCACTAGGCTACCCCACCACCCCTTATTCCACAGTGACTAAATCTAGTGTTCATCACTAACCTGTTTGCTCTTTTCAAATCATTCACAAATTCTGCAGACTGTTGATGTCTGATCTCCGAGTTCCGAGATATTTTTTCTAACGTTGACACAAGCTCTTGAACCCGGGACTTCAACTTCTTTTCTCGTTTCAGGGCGTCGCAGAGATCCTGCGCAATGTCGCTCGAGTTATTAGTCCGCAGCTCCGCCATTGAGATCATCGGTGATAGGTCACAGTCGATATCCTGCAACAGTGAGAGAGTTTATAGGACAAGAATTCCTGTACACAGTATACAAGAACTTAACTGGGTTTCACATTTCCATCACATTTGACATCCTTGTACTTTGTTGGCAATGAATTTCTGCTACTGCTCCAACACCTCACATATGAGGTGTTCTATCTGCACACAGAATGCCTGCATACTCATCTAGCAACTCAAACACAACAAATTTCATCTTCCTTTACTTCCAGACCTTGGTAGAAATGACTTTCTGCTGCTGTTCCAATACCTCACAAATGAGGTGATCTATCTGGATCAGGCACTGCTTACCAAGCCTCAATGGGGGCTCACTTTCTTACACATGTCATCTTTGCTGGCCATGAATTCCTGTTGTTACTCTATCACCTCACATATGAGGTATTCTACCTGACCAGGTTTGGCATAGTAAGACTCACCCAGGAGATCATTGTTAGCCATAAAGTTCTGTTTATGCCAGTGTGAGAAATAGTTTCCAAATTTTGCTCGCCAGTCAGGCTAGCTATGCCTGAAAGTTACTAGCCTACAAAATAATTCACTAGTCCGAAATGTGAATGTAGACACGTTTCATCATTAAGCTGCTAATATGATAAGCATTTTTATGAGGCCATAATCTTGCATGATTTAAAAGTGTGTTAAAACTTAACAAGTCAGAGAGAATGATATATGTACAAAATGAACCTCGGAAAATTCACTAGCCAGTCTGACCAGTGACTGAGGAGATTTACTGGCTTGACTGAATTTTTACTAGCCACGGGCTAGTGGGCAAGTGGCTATTTCGCACTGGTTGATGCTCAAAAACCTCACATTCTAGGTGTTCTACCTGGGACTTGACAACCCAAACTACCTGGTAAGGATTATCAAGTCTCACCAAAGACTCACCTTCTTGTACATGCCATCCTTCTGACAATGACTTCTTCTTCATACACAACACCTCAAATTTGTGGTGTTCTATCTGGACTAAGTTCAGCATACTCACCTTCTTGTACCTGCCATCCTTGCTGGCCATGAGTTTCTGCTGATACTCTAACACCTCACACTTGAGGTGTTCTATCTGGACCCTGTAGGCCTGTTCCTGACTCTCCTTGCCACTCAGCCGGAGCTCCAGGGCTCGCTTCTCCTTCTCCATCAGGTAGTTGCCAGCCTTCAACTCAGCCTTCTCCTCCTGGATGTCAGGGGGAAACAGTGAGTCAGTCCCTGGTGTTAACACTACATCAATATGATACACTGATTGAGTTTAGTTTTACGCCGCTTTTAGCAATATTCCAGCAATATCACGGCGGGGGACATCAGAAATGGGCTTAAAACATTGTGCCCATGTGGGGAATCGAACCCGGGTCTTCGGCATGACAAGCCAACGCTTTAACCACTAGGCTACCCCACCACCCCAATATGATACAAGGCCCATGGGTGACCTAACTGGATAGGTGCCTCAACTTGCTATGCAAACATATGGTTAAGGGTTCGAATCACATTGTTTGAACTTAGCCTCAGATTTTGAAGTCAGGAAGAGTCTAAATTTGAAATCTACATCAATATATAACCAAACTTTGGAATACCAGTAGTTTGTTTGGAATGGAGGGGTAGATAATGGTTTATTTGGGCCCACTGGATATGTTAAGTTTGAAAGATCAGGATTTCTCATATGAACGAATAAGGCTAAAATAAATTAAAAGGACTGATTTTCAAACCTAAAATACTAATTATGAGCAAATCCATAACATCCATCTATGCAATTTAGTTTTGTCAAATGTCCCAATCATGCAATTCTTGAAATGAATGAAGTCAAGTTTCTATTCATACGAACACATTAAATAACCTTCACACCAATTCTTAAGGTTCACCTTTGATCGGATGAGGATGACAAAGAGCCTCGACCTGTCTCTTCCCTTCAGTTGTGTGTGAGTGAGTGAGTTCAGTTTTACGCCCCTTTTAGCAATATTCCAGCAATGTCACGGTGGGGGACACCAGAAATGGGCTTCACACTTTGTACCCATGTGGGGAATTGAACCCGGGTCTTCGGCGTGACGAGCAAACGCTTTAACCACTAGGCTACCCACCGCCCCCTTCAGTCATGAGTAGGTTGGAAAACTTTCACATGAAACCTTACTCAGGGACCAAGTTATCTGGGACCCGTTTCACAAAGCGATCGTAGAGCTAAGGTGATTGTAACTCCCATGCTTCAACATAGATAGAACATATATTACAACAGCCGTAGGGCTACAATCGCTTTGGGAAACGGGCCCCTGGATTTCTCCACATGTTCCATTTAACCAGTCTTAAGGAGTCTTCACATCGTATTTACTGGTGCTCACTATAATGGATTGGATAGCGTGGATCATTGATAATAATCACTGGATTGTCTGGAGCAATTTGTTTGTGTGCCGGACCAACCTCACTCGCAATAGAGTGAGTGAGTGTAGTTTTTCACCGCACTCAGCAATATTCCAGCTATATGGCAGCAGTTTGTAAATAATCGAGTCTGGACCAGACAAATCAGTGATTGACATCATGAGCATCGATCTTCACAATTGGGATAAGATGTCATGTGTCAACCAAGTCAGCGAGTCTGACCACCCGATCCCGTTAGTCGTCTCTTACAACAAGCATGGGTTGCTGCAGGCCAATTCTAACCCGGACCTTCATGGGTCCTTAAGCTTTCCCTTTTAAGAACACCTGGTGTCATCACTGATCTCAGGTGACACATACATATAATTTTCATTACTATTTTGCCTTTTCACTCCCCCTGGAATTGGTAGATATTTGATTCTCTGGCGCTAAAGTTCTGAATTTACCTTCATGGCCATCAGTTCTTGCATGAGAACTGCATTCTCCAAGTCCAGTCTCTGGGCTTCTGGAATCTTCTTGGGTTCATCTGATATCGGGTCACAGTGCACACTCTCCAGTTCCAACACGGTCATCTTGACGGCAGCTCTGTCATTCTTTAGAGACTGGATATAGTCTCGTAACCTCTGCTCGTCTATCTTGCTGAAGTCTGTGTCCACTGAACTGGCAGTTGAACTAGTTGTGCTGAAAGTAGCATCAAGAAATGTGTTACTGGTGCTATTTGTTTGGAAAGCCATATTAGAAATAGAGCTGTTGGAACTAGTCATGCAGTGTGTAGTTTGAGCTATTTGTTCAGAAAGCCGAATCAGAAAAGCTGAACTAATGACAATAATGAACATATCAGATGAGGGATTTGTTAAGATGAACTATGGATCATAGGCGGATCCAGAGAGTGAGAGAGAGTGAGAGAGAGAGAGAGAGAGAGAGAGAGAGAGAGAGAGAGAGAGGAGAGAGAGAGAGAGAGCGTGAGAGAGAGAAGAGAGCATGAGAGAGAGAGAGAGAGAGAGAGCGTGAGAGAGGAGAAAGAGCATGAGAGGAGAGAGAGAAGAGAGAGAGAGATGAGAGCGTGAGAGAGAGAGAGAGAGAGAGAGAGAGAGAGAGAGAGAGAGAGAGAGAGCGTGAGTGAGAGAGAAAGAGTGAGAGAGAGAGAGAGAGATGAGAGGCGTGGAGAAAGAGAGTGAGAGAGAGAGAGAGGAGTGAGAAGAGAGTGAGAGAGAGAGAGAAAGAGAGAGAGAGCGTGAGAGAGAGAGAGAGAGAGAGAGAGAGAGAGAGAGAGAGAGAGAGAGAGGCGTGAGGGAGAGCACCCCCCTTTTGTCCTGAAAGTTTATTTAATGACCACTGAAACTCTCGTGAAAATGAAGTGTGCACCCCCACTTTTTCAAGAGTGTGCACCTCCCACCCACCCCTTTCTTAAAAAGCTGTATCCGCCCCTGTAGATAATAACTAACATGGGTTGTCTGAAGATGATATCCTCCTGGTCTGGTGTGATTCACAAATGGAGTTATGGCTACTTCTACATACCCCACTTTTGGTTCGCTGCCATTGGATGACTTCAGTTACATGAAGATAAACAATAATGCTGTTCAGTATTTCTCAATATCCCAAACAATGAAATGCACAGGTCACCACTAGATTAATCTGTATAGCAAGTGCCATCAAGAAATATTCAATGGTTTTGAAGTTATGCTCCGGAAACAAACTAAGCCTTCATATTCAGTACAAGTCCAACTTATTATCATGAAAAAATAACAAAAAATAATAAATCGTAATCCAAAATAATCAAAGGGAAGCACTTCACCACTAAAGTGATCCATGTAGCAAGGTTATTCATGAAATATTCAAAAGTTCTGCTCCAGAAACTGAAAATGTGCAGGCAGACGGACAAACATGCTGAAAGCTATATGCACTCATTTTTCAACCAATATTACTGGAATAGTTGTTCAGAAGACAGCATCAGTTGTTACAGCAAATTGTTTCTAAATCAGTTTCAGAAAATATGTTATTGAAACTAGTGGTGCTGCAACCAGTACAATATGGCTTCCATGTTACACAGTATCAATACCTTGCTGTTCTGCTATTGGACGAGAGATCCTCCCATGGACTGGCAGTACATCCAGTCACATGACCAGTACAACATCGTTCCATCTTGTGAAGCAGGTGTTTGGCCACGTTTTCTGCTGTTTTCCTCGCATGGTGTGACCGTTGTAAAATGACTGTCACCTCATTTTGGTCGTCACAGATCCCGGAGTCTCCTGCTACAAGACAAGGTGAACATAAGACACTAGTGTGATTTCCTCATCAGGAATATGAGCGAGTGAGTTAAGTTTCATGCCGCACTTTATTCCAGTTATATGGCAGTGGTCTGTACATAATCGAGTCTGTACCAGACAATTTGGTGATCAACAGCATGAACATCGATCTGCGCAATTGGGAGTGAGTGAGTGAGTGAGTTTAGTTTTACGCTGCACTCAGCAATATTCAAGCTATATGGCAGCGGTCTGTAAATAATCGAGTCTGGACCAGACAATCCAGTGATCAACAGCATGCGCAACGATCTGCGCAATTGGGAACCGATGACATGTGTCAAAATAGTCAGCGGGCCTGACCATCCACTCACGCTAGTGGCCTCTTACAAGGTTACTGAAAACCAATTCTAACCCAGATCTTCACGGGTAGGAATTTGTGAAACTACATAGGTTTGGAAGTAGTCATGAGATTTTAATTCCATGATTCAGGGATTTATCAATGGTTCAAAGCTCAGTGCCCCTGGCTGGAAAACGTGGGAATTTATTTTTGACAATTTGAGATTGTCCTTTAAATTCCTATTTTCTAAAGTTACTATAGTGAATAGCAATATGTCTTAAATTTTATTCAGTTTAAGAATGATATCATAAAACGATTATTACTCTTATGTGCAAAATGTTTGCATAATACGAATAATATTTCTCATATATGATATAAAAAAAGGTACTCACTGCAAATATTTTCTTTTCAGTATTTGCCATTATTATTATAACTGACATTGCCTTCAGCTCATAGATTTTGGAAACAAAATATCATAAACAGATACATTCAATTGAAAGTAAATGTTGACTTAAGGGGAGGTAATTTCAGAATTGAATTATTATCTCCCTTGGATTTGAACACCCATGCCATCTTGATTATGCTTTGGTTATTAATGGCAGCACATCAGCCGTTAGACGGAAGAAGCCTTCCATTATTCATGCACCAGCATCTCAACATATTCAGTGTGATTAGTTGGCCACCTGCATAGATAGGAAACGTAAAAGAAGGATTTTACTGAGGAGAGATTAGTGCAGAAATGAGCAATGCGGGTTTTTTTTAAGTCCAATGCGACGTATTCAGAACAGACCATGGCTTTATGCAAATGCGTGTGTGATGATATTGTATTACAAAGGACACTTTTTAAATGATCATTTTGAAATAAGACTTAGCTTCATTATAAACGATAGCAGACGTAAAAAATAATAACTTTAATACTGAAACTATTAAGGATGTAGCTACCATGGCGTTTCACTATCACCATAAAAAGAAACAGGTACGAGGGGTCGTCTCAAAAGCAAAACCAGGACGGGTGTCACAGACAGTGGCTGGGGTCGGGCTGGGGAACTGAGATGTTAGCTAAGATAAGATAATCAATAGAGACATATTCAATACACATGAAAACACATAAAATATCTTTGAGATGACCCCTTGTGCCTGTGGGCAGCACGTGCATTTCATGCCATGTGAGTCGACGGTCCGTCGTCATACCTGGCTGAGCGACCTAATTGCCATCTATAGTCTGATCTATTGTTTTCAGCAGCTATTCGTATTTTTTCAAAGTTTTGCCCGATGTAACGAGTAAACATGCTTATCTGGATATCCTATTACACATAACCCTGAATGCTCAGTTAGGCCGAAGAGGGTTATTTCGACATGTGCTATTTGCAATTGTGTAAATTTTAGGGATACAGAGTAACAGCCTAAAAACAGTTTTTTTCTATTTCCGAAAGTACACTGAATATGTTGATATGCTGGTGCATGAATAATGGAAGGCTTCAACTACTTCAACAGTGTTTTTGTTCCAGTATCTTGTCACACAACACTATAAATGGAAATGTTAACACAGTCATTTGGTCAGCAAAGATGGGCACTGAGTGACCAAACTCCTGGGAAGAAAACTGGCAATGATCAGCTGATCACCCAGGCATTCAGTGCACCGGCACTGAGCATGTGAGATTGTGAGTGACTGCCCCTTTAAGGGTTGTGTCGAGTCCACACCTCACATCAAGAGTTTCAAATATGACATTACTCATAAAAACATACTTACTTACTCCCTCCCTATCCCAGATCTCCACAGAGGAATACTATCCAAGAAAACGTTAAACATTCTGTAAAAAGATGAGCTGAAATCCTTAAAGGTGGCCTGCCTCTCACCTAAACTTCCAAGTCCTGCTGCTCGACAGTTGGACAGCAGTACTCCCATCTCCGTCTCCAGCAGTGCACACAACACCTCATACGCTTCTATCGCCTGGTCCGAGTAGTTGATGGCCAAGTTCAAGGCCGTATTGTTCGACTCATATTTACCCATGAGCACTGTAAGTCTCTCCGAATATGCTTTACTCTCTGCCTAAGGTCAAAGTTGTCAGATCATGCTGTGACTTCAGATTGTCTATCTTACTCTGCAATCTCTCGAACTCAATCTCAAACTCCTTGACCTTGGTGTCACCGATCTCACTACCACACTTGTACAGAGTCTGCACAATCTCCTGCATATTGGAACATTCCTGGAGGCTCTGAACTAAATGCTCTGCAACCTTTGTGTTGGGAAGCTAGAACAAAAAAAAAGTCCATGAATGGTATTTAGAAGCGAAAATCATGAGGGGGAGACATTTACAGCACACTCCGGTGCAGTAATGACATAACATCACTGACACAATCTCATTTGTATATCACGTGACCAGACTTTTCTCTTGTTTGTAAACAAACACGCACATTTGTAAATCAGGCTGACTGACTGAGTTTGGTTTTATGCTGCTTTTAGCAATATTCCAGCAACATCACGGCGGGGGACACCAGAAATGGGCTTCACACATGGTACCCAGGTCTTCGGCATGACTCAAACAAACACGCATATTTGGCGTGAGATTTGCCTCATATTGTTTTACATTATTATATAGATATTCTTCTACAACTGCGACAGTCAGATTTATAACAATACATAGTTATACATCAAAGTGACAGCATCGCTAGCTCCCCATAGTGCTTCAATGACAGCACGTGGAACCGCACAAGCTATGTAAACACAGGATCGCTATGCAAATCGAAATATCGTTACACGTTTTAGGATTTTCTCTCAGTGAAAGTACAGCATTCTATCAACGAAGATTAATTAGATGTGTGTAGATGTAGACTCGTAAAAAATATAAGCATTAAAAATTATATACAATATTCTTGAATGAACTGTGTAAGATGTGACAAATCGTCACATCCACCTGGCCTGTGGCACAGGTACTATACTGGCTGCATGGAACTCTGGGTAGGAGAGTAAAATTTATAGATGTCCATTTCTTTATCATAAGGACCCGTGAAGATCCGTGTTAGAACTGATCTTCAGCAACCCATGCTTGTTGTAAGAGGTGACTAACGGGATCGGGTGGACAGGCTCGCTGACTTGGTTGACACATATCGTATCCCAATTGTGTAGAATGATGTTCATGATGTTGATCACTGGATTGTCTGGTCCAGAATCCAATATTTACAGACCGCCGCCACATAGCTGGAACACTGCTGAGTGGGGCGTTAAACAACAAAACAACCAACCAACTTTAACATAAGAACACTTAACTACATTCCTTCAGTTGGACCAATGAAAACTCACCCCTAATGAACTGATTTCAGACCCCAAGACCTGTCGATCCCCAGCACAGGTTTTTAGTTTTTTCAACTCTGCTATTTTGGCAACGGGGAACTGATCATTGCTTGGCGTCATCTGCATCTGTGACTGACTCAGCTGCGACTTGGTCGGCGTGGACGTCCGACTGTCATTAGGACTAGAAGAACTCTCCTTCACCTGGATCCGAGACTGCATCTCACGAATCTGGAAAAAGAACATTGATGCTGTTATGTATTGATGTGTTTCTGCTTTTATCAATAAGTATATTCTTGGAAACATGCAGAAGAAAAACCACAAAGCAAAACGTTGGTTTGATGGTTGTCTTATTTCAACAGCTCCTGACTGGGGCTACCTGTAGGTTAACATCTCTTAAATCAAGCCCTGAGAAGTCATTTAGATTTTGAGGTTTCCAAACAAACAAGGGCTTCATTGTACATCTTAAACCAACCTTTCGTTTCAACTTCTCGCGTTCATCTCGTAACGCCTCTAGGTGTTCACGCAGCATGTTGAGGTCCACTTCCTGTTTGCCGATCTGTTCCTGCAGCGTGTTGTTCTCGACCCGGAGGCTGGCGATCTCCTCCTGGAGGTACTCGGGGTCTGGGTACTGGTTGGGGGGTTGGGGAGGAGGTGGGTGGAACATCGCCGGCCGCAACTGCCGAGGGGGCAAGGTCGGTGGCTGGTTAAGTCCAAGGCCACTCAAGTCTTCACAAATCTACGGATAACATGAAAGAAATTTTTCTTGAGCATATTGTTTGGGGCACATGTCAGTGAGATGGGCTTAATGCTGCTTTGGATGATATTTCAGGAGGAGCTCAAAGTGACGCAGGTCATACATGTTACCGCTATGTGCATCCAGTATGCACAAATGTAGAGAATGGATGCAGAAAAAAAATTCACTGCGTCCAAAGGGAAGCACAATATTATTCAAAGGTGACACCCTAATTATTAGTTTTAAGGGTCCTTGCAGGCAATATGACGGTCCTGTGAAGTAACGGTGTAGAGAACTGTATGTTTTGATAATTTGTTTAGAGCCTGGAATGAATCATTGATCATGTGGACTGATGGGTGAAATGATGCACGTAACTGCTCTGAAGGAAACAACCAAACACTTAGCCGAGTCATAGATGTGTTGTGGGTACAGTGAACAATGTTGTGGGTCCCTCAGTGAATGTATTCTCTGCATCCATTCTCTACATTTGTGCATACCGGACATACCGGACATACCGGACATACCGGGCATACCGGGCATACCGGGCATACCGGGCATACCGGGCATACCGGGCATACCGGGCATACCGGACATACCGGGCATACCGGGCATACCGGGCATACCGGACATACGGGGCATACCGGGCATACCGGACATACCGGACATACCGGGCATACCGGGCATACCGGGCATACTTCTTGTACAATAGAAGTCACTAAACCAGACACATACATTTCACTGTTTTCAACCATATTCTAATGTCAATCTTAACATAATTCCTGTAAGGTGAGTGTCTCGGAATCAGGATAGTATATAATAGAATGTGTGTAGATCCAATACCTTCTTGTAGACTTATGACAGTCTTAGCGCTAAGATTGTTTGTACAATCGTATCCTGGAGTCATGTATTTTATCACTCAATTTTTATCCAAAGGAGTAAAAGCTCCTATGTGTCTCAGGATGCCACAAATAGAAATAAAATTTAATAATAATAATAATAGTCCATTTATCATGCATATTTCTCCATGCATAATGCATGCGTGATGAGCCCAAACAATCTGATTATTATTACCCTGGATGAAAAACCCCGAAAGCTACAAGCAGTTACCTCCCCTGCCTTTTCGTCCACACTATCATTATCGACATCCTGGGTTAGTCTCCGGATGGCGTCCCTCTCCCCGTCGTCCACGCCAATAGCCATCTCTTTCCTTTCTGCTATGGCCGACTCCAGCTCGGTCACCACTCGCGTGAACTCTGCGTTGATCTCATTACCGATTTCTAGAACAAGAACAGTTCAAATCTGAACTTGAGCTGACAATCAACCCACAGACACCTGGTCAAAAGTGTTTCTGTATTCAGTTTACAATGCAGACTTGCACGATTCCCACACAATATTAAGATACTTTATTATGACTTTGAGCATTTTGCTGCAAATTCTACATTCAAAACTTACATTCAATATTTTTACAATTTTCCTGTCAAGATGCAAGAAAATGTTCTGCTGCAAATTCTACAATTAAAACTTACATTCAATATTTTTACAATTTTCCTATAAGATGCAAGACAAGGTTTTGTTGCAAATTCTACATTTAAAAATTACATTTAATACTTTTACAATTTTCCTGTCAAGATGCAAGAAAACATTTTGCTGCAAATTCTACAATTAAAAATTTCATTTAATATTTTTACAATTTGTTTTATCAAGCTGCAAGAATGAATAATCTTTAAAATCTTAAACAACTTCTCCTCATGAGAATGATGATTACAGATAGATTTAAAACAAAAAGTTTTATTTCACACAGAAAAGAAATTTAATATAACAAATCTTCTAACCAAATTTATAATGATTCCCTGAAGGGAACTTACTCACCAGCCTATACATGTTAGTTCGAACTATAGGCCAAGTGAACATGCTTACTGTCAGAGTTATCTCCCTTCCTCCACAAATTCTCCAAAAGTCTCACTCAAAGCACTTAGCATATTAACCATAAACCACACCACTCATAAAGACTTCTAAGAGAACTTACAAAGGGATCAGCAACATTTCTTAACTGAAAGCTTAATGTGGAGTTAATGACTGTATCACATCCAGCACGGATTGCCTAACTTCATTACCAGACTTCAGAGAAAATGTAACAAGTTTGACTCATATGATCTAATTGAGGTCAAATACTGCTCTATACCTAATGGGAAACTAAGGGATTGCCACTGAACTCTCCCCGTCGGTTTTATGGGAAAACCATATTCCTTCTAATAAGAACTGGCCTGCAATACCGGCTGGGTCATAAGCTGATATTGAAATCATTAATATCAACTTAGCATGGTGAGAGGCATGGGAAGGTATCTTACAAATTCATCATCATCATAATCATCATCATCATTATTAGAGTTTAAGGGCTAGATCTGTATTATATAATAATCATCATCACCATTATCATCATCATTAAAGTGTGTGGGCAAGATTGGCATTTTATCATCATCATCATCATGAGAGTGTGGGGGCAAGCTCAGCATTTTATCATCATCATCATCATCATCATGAGAGTGTGGGGGCAAGATCTGCATTTTATCATCACCATCATCATCATGAGAGTGTGTGGGCAAGATCTACATTTTATCATCATCATCATCATCATCATCATCATGAGAGTGTGAGGGCAAGATCTGCATTTTATCATCATCATCATCATCATGAGAGTGTGTGGGCAAGATCTACATTTATCATCATCATCATCATCATCATCACGAGAGTGTGGGGGCAAGATCTGCATTTTATCATCATCATCATTATCATCATGAGAGCGTGTGGGCAAGATATGCATTTTATCATCATCATCATCATCACGAGAGTGTGTGGGCAAGATCTGCATTTTATCATCATCATCATCATCATCATCATCACGAGAGTGTGTGGGCAAGATCTGCATTTTATCATCATCACCATCATCATCATCATGAGAGTGTGTGGGCAAGATCTGCATTTTATCATCATCATCATCATCATAGAGTGTGGGGCAAGATCTACATTTTATCATCATCATCATCATCATTAGAGGTGTGGGGGCAAGATCTGCATTTTATCATCATCATCATTATCATCATGAGGAGTTTATATCATCATCATCATTCATCATCATCGTGTGGGCAAGATATGCATTTTATCATCATCATCACGAGAGTGTGTGGGCAAGATCTGCATTTTATCATCATCATCATCATCATCATGAGAGTGTGTGGGCAAGATCTGCAGTTTTTCATCATCATCATCATCATCATCATCATGAGAGTGTGTGGACAAGATCTGCATTTATCATCATCATCATCATCATCATGAGAGTGTGTGGGCAAGATCTACATTTTATCATCATCGCATCATCATCACGAGAGTGTGTGGGCAAGATCTGCATTTTATCATCATCATCATCATCATCATCACGAGAGTGTGTGGGCAAGATCTGCATTTTATCATCATCATCATGATGAGAGTGTGTGGACAAGATCTGCATTTTATCATCATCATCATCATCACAATAAGAGAGTGTGGGCAAGATCTGTAGTATATCATCATCATCACAATAAGAGAGTGTGGGCAAGATCTGTAGTATATCATCATCACAATAAGAGAGTGTGGGCAAGATCTGTAGTATATCATCATCATCACAATAAGAGAGTGTGGGCAAGATCTGTAGTATATCATCATCATCACAATAAGAGAGTGTGGGAAAGATCTGTAGTATATCATCATCATTACAGTGAGTGGGCAAGATCTGTAGTATACAGTGAGTGGGCAAGATCTGTAGTATATCATCATCATTACAAGAGTGAGTGGGCAAGAGCTGTAGTATATCATCATCATCATTACAGTGAGTGGGCAAGATCTGTAGTATATCATCATCATTACAGTGAGTGGGCAAGATCTGTAGTATATCATCATCATTACAGTGAGTGGGCAAGATCTGTAGTATATCATCATCATTACAGTGAGTGGGCAAGATCTGTAGTATATCATCATCATTACAGTGAGTGGGCAAGATCTGTAGTATATCATCATCATTACAGTGAGTGGGCAAGATCTGCATTACCACAACTGGCTGACTGGGATCCGTTGGCGTTGTTCTCGTTGATGCTGCCACCATCATTGCTCTTGTCTGACTCCTCAAATTCATCCTCCTCCCTGAAACAGTGATATGTATATGTAATACTTGTGTTTATTACTTACGAGGGCGAAAATATTGGGGTTCATATTTTTTATCCGATGCCCTAGGGTAAAATATCATGAACAATGCTATGACGTCATTCTAGGTCTATTGAGGACAGTCTCATGTTCAAGGCATTTTCACAACACTGAACCAAACCTCAGGTCTCCGCCTCAAATTCAAGGAGTTCAAGTACACACAAGCTCAAACCTTGGTCACCAAAATCAGCGGAAAGCCTGAGAAACACACTGATCCCCGAACCATCCCTTCCGGACCCACGACCAACCCCCATCATCCAGGTTCAAACTACAATCAAATTTTAATTGACATATTGATGCCCAAACCTTATCACATTAATCTGATGGCGTTCTATCTTCTTGCGAAGTTCTGCAATAACACTGTGCAGCTCTGTAATCCTCTCCTCGTATCGCCCGGCGGTCTGGTCAATACGGTCCTCACACTCGTGCTGGAGATGAAGCTTCTCACTCTGAAAACACACACCAGCGTACTTCCACTTCACTGTGTCAACTTTATTGTACAATCCTCGCGTGTTAACTATTTCAAAATGAATTTGAACACATTCAACAAGTTTACTTGACAATTCTTCAGATACTTGAACTTCTGAGAAGCATATTTTTCTAATTTACTGTGTTAATAAAAAAATCTGATTCTTTTATATTACTTTTGTACAATCCTTGTGTGTCGACTTTTTCAAAATGAATTTCACCACATTCAACAAGTTTACTTGACAATTCTTCACTTGAACTTCTGATCAGCATATTTTTTCAAATTACAATGTTAACAAAAAACCTCTGATTCTTTTATATTGCTTTCACAGTTAAAGACCATTGTGTCAAACTTGAAGGGCCCAACAGAAATACTTTGAATTATCTGAGATTTACAACCAAAAAATTATAGCTAAAGAAGGTGTAATCTTTACGCCAAGAAAACCCTAAATTCAACACATCAACGCTTGATTCAATATAGGTAGCCCGTATATATAATCAGTTACACAACGCCAAGAGTGATCACAGTAATAAATAACGTTAAGTGTTCTGAATTTATTTTTTGAGTATATGTATATATAAGCTTGTCTGTGCCAACATAAACAATTTTCAATTTTAAAATAAAGTGTTATCAAAAAAACAATACAATTTGGAAATAAATTAAGGAATATCTGTATCTCTTTCTCATTGAAAAGCTTTGTAAATATCAAAACATAAGAATAGTATGTAATTATTAAACATTTATGCAATATTTCGGACATAAAGTTTTATGGAAATCAGTTTCCCTCTGTATTAAACTTTATAAGTAAATCTTACCTGTACTTTTGTAAGCTGCTTTTCTAGCAAGTCTCTTTCACTAGTCACATGTTGAAGTCGATTATTTAGATCGATTATCTCCCCTTTCAGTGAAGTCAAGGCCGCCAGGTGGAGCTGAAGAAGAAAACCAAAATTAAACAAATGACAATGAAATAAACTATCCAAAAAGTCAAAAATAAATATCACAGTCAAAAATAAATATCACATCAACATAAACTGGCTTATAAGTTGCAAAAAAGGTGTGTAAAAAGTAAAATTAACACTATCAGAAAATGTTTTCCCTATCGCTTTAAACATACATGGCAGCCATTTTGATCTAGCAGTTCACACTGAATCCAACTCCCCAGAGGTAAATAGGATATTGATATTTTCAGTCCAGAGAGATGTCAGGCTGTGGTCAAATCTCACAGTTGGCAGCCATTTAGTCCATTCAATCCACACAGAACCATATACTACAAGAAAGGTATCTGGATACTCAACATATCTCATCCATTAAACCAGAAGCCATTTTTGACACACAATCCACATAGTGAGAAGCACAAATTACAAGAAAGGTATCAGGTTAAGTATCATATCCCACCCATCAAACCAGAAGCCATGTTTGACACACAATCCACATAGTGGGAACCATATATTATAAGAAAGGTATCAGCTATATTACCCAACATATCCCACCCATCAAACAAGAAGCCATTTTTACCACACAATCCACATAGTGAGAACAACATGGTACAAGAAAGGTATCTGGCTTCCCAGAGTGAAGTGAGTGAGTATTAATGCGCTTTAGCAATATTCCCCCAAAACAGAAATGGGCTTCACAAGCCATTTTTTGAGTTTTTAAGAAACCACTAAGTAGTTGAAGCCAAGTTTGAGCATGGGGAAACAGTTGCTCTAATCCAAGTGTCCTGCATCAGCAGCAAGTGTGCCTGACATTGTGGCCATGTCCCCTGTAAGGTAAGTGATCTCTGCTGCCTGACCAGCCAATTCAAATTATTCCCATCTATCTCCACATTCAGTAATACTGCAGCCATATCATGGCACCTTGTACATAACAGAGCCGGGCCGGACATACCTGTCAGACAGCGATATTACATTTATCAGGAATAATGACACCCAAGCAGGGCTCGATTTAGTGCTTTGTTACTTGTACTGGTGCAACCCAATATTACAAAGTGCAACCTAGTTCTGGTCTAGCTTGCACCAGGTGCAAGTCAATTTTTCAGTGGGTAAACTTCTAAATAAAACATCTAAATAATTCAATAGCATATTTCTTTCAATACATCTTGCAATAAAAGCAGTGCAACTGGAATTTGACTGGTGCAACCAGGTTTTAATCTTAGGTTGCACCTGGTGCAAGTAGGCTAACATCTCTTAAATCGAGCCCTGCCAAGTAACCAAGCCTGGGCCTAGATTTTCTAAGCTCTCTTAGCGCTAAGATAGTCGTAAGTTAATGTATGGCACTTACGACTATCTTAGTGCTAAGAGAGCTTTGAAAATCTAGGCCCTGGCACTAGATCCTATTTGGTTGCCTTTCATGACAAATGATAGAGTTCTGGGGATGTTTTCTAACCCTGGGCCTAGATTTTCGTAGCTCTCTTAGCGCTAAGATAGTCGTAAGTTAATGTTAATGTATGGCACTTACGAATCTTAGAGCTAAGAGAGCTTTGAAAATCTAGGCCCTGGGGATGTTTTCTAACCCTGGTTCCCTGGGCGGTCACAGTCAAACATCCTGACAGCTCAGTCGCCACCATGATTACCCAGTCCTCACTTAAGCCAAATCTTTGGAGGCGCCAAGCGTACCAGTTATGTATTCTTGGTCAACCTGTGGGGATTCCAGGGCATATCTGGTCATTAATACATTCAGATAAATTCCTGCTGAATGACATCAACTTGTAAATAATTAAGTCTTGAACAGAAACCCAGAGACTGATATTGTGAGCATCCAACCTCCAGTGAGTGAGTGAGTGAGTGAGTGAGTTCAGTTTTACGCTGCAGTCAGCAATATTCTAGCTATATAGCGGCGGTCTGTAAATAATCGAGTCTGGACCAGACAAACCGGTGTTCAACAGCATGAGCATTGATATACGACATTGGTTGGTGTCAACCAAGTCAGCGAGCCTGACCACCCGATCCTGTCAGTCGCCTCTTATGGCAGCATGGGTTACTGAAGACCAATTCTAACCTGGAGATTCACCGGTCAACCAAGCTTGACAACTTGATCAATCAAGTCATCTCTTAAGACAAGAAAAGGTAAAACCTGGTCTAACCCAGATTGCCCATGGGTAAGGTCTCCATTAATCTCTGTCATACAAGGAAACTAAATAGATAAGTTAATAAGGTTCGCATGTCATTATACAGTAATGCAGTTGGAAGGTGCTTATGATATCAATGACTGGTTTGTCCTCTCAAGGCCCCATTTCTGGTGTCCCCTGTCGTGATATTGCTGGAATATTGCTAAAAGCGGTGTAAAACTAAACTCAATGAAACCTATCAAGGCTTGAACATTGTAGCTAATGTGAGTGTGGGTATGGTTTTACACCGTTTTAGCAATATTCCAGCAATATCATGGCAGGGGACACCAGAAATGGGCTTTACATTTTGTACCCATGTGGGGTATCTAACGCTGGTCTTCAAAGTGATGAGTGAACGCTTTAATCACACGCTACCACACATAACTATTTTAGCTGTAAATCCATACAGCTGGAATGTTGCTGAGTATTGTCACAGAAAATAGAAAAGAAAGATGACATCCACTTTTCTATATCCAGCAGCCAATATGTATGCCAAATCCAGTTTCCAAATAGTCTACCATTTGCTACCCGTCAGCAGTGAAGATGTTATCAGCCCGTGAGTGACAAGGCTGTAACGGCTATGGGTGCCTGGCAAGAGTGATGTCAAAGGTTAACCTTGGAATTTACTACTAGAATAAACATGTGCCTTATAGTAAATGTCCAACAACACTGCCACTGTCTTCAAACCACCTTCACCCTTGTGTTTAGAATTGGTCCCCAGCGACCCCTGCTGGTCACATGAGGCATCTGATTGGATCAAGTTCTCTGACTGGATGCGTGTCATCATCATCCAATATCTGTGGTTCCGATGTGATTATTATGACTTTCTCGTTACAGCCTGAATGTTCCTGAGTTAGGCAACAACCAAACAAGCGAAAACTCCTTTGGAGAGGACCTGATCCAGTCAAGATGATATTCTCCGATCCAGTGAAGATGTTATTCCCAAGCTGCCTTCATAGAGCCTGAATGTTGGCGAGTGTGGCATTAAACACCCACTAAAATGTTAAACTCCTTCACAGAGGACCTGATCAGGTCAAGATGACATTCTCTGAACCGGTCAAGATGTTATTCCCAAGCTGCCTTCATAGAGCCTGAATGTTGGCGAGTGTGGCATTAAACACCCACTAAAATGTAAAACTCCTTCACAGAGGACCTGATCAGGTCAAGATGACATTCTCCGATCCGGTCAAGATGTTATTCCCAAGCTGCCTTCATAGAGCCTGAATGTTGGCGAGTGTGGCATTAAACACCCACTAAAATGTAAAACTCCTTCACAGAGGACCTGATCAGGTCAAGATGACATTCTCCGATCCGGTCAAGATGTTATTCCCAAGCTGCCTTCATATAGCTGGAATGATGCTGAGTGTGAGAACCACCAAACAAATAAAAACTCCTTTGGAGGGGACGTGATCCGGTCAAGATCTTCTTCCCAAGGGAAATCAGCTTCCACTAATCCATCTCCCCACACAGCCTACCTGCACAACAATCTGCTGACAAGGAACCACCTCTCCACAACAACATCGTCATTCGATATTTACAGATGCTCTCGAAGCTTTGACACGTCAAAGTCGTAACTACAATTACCTCAAACACGGATCCAAATATAACTCTGTTCTTGAAACATTTTGCCACCTCGCCACTTCTCAATACAAAACACTACTCAGCACTTTCTCTCCCGACCTTCAAACCCCGGTCCTTCAATGCCACTGCACGGCGGCCATCCATCAATTGACAACACAAGGAGGATAATTTGCTGCCGATATTCCAGTGAGATTCAATACAAGGTTACAGTGTCTCTGTCAGCAATTACGGGCAGTATGTCACACCAATATTCTCCCACCCATGGGATATAAATACTTATCACACGCTGGGACACAAATGTACACGAGCAATATAATAAGGTCTTGACGTATGACATGACAGGAATCATATAGATTTATGATGGTATACAGATTTGAGGCTGGCATTTGCACACAATCCATAATTTATGACACAGGAATAAATATTGGCACAAAATCACCATACTTGCCTGATCAGTGTTATATCATATTCTTAAATGTAACAATATGTGGAAAAGACTTTAACTGCCTTCTTTCCCTAAAATAAAACTGCATATTTTTCAAACTTAATTTTCAAAAATTTTAGCAATACTAACATCAAAAACAGAAAGTTTAAATTGACAAAAAGAAATACAATAGCTGCATTATTTTAGGCCTTGCATTAAAGTAAACACAGATTTAACAAACATTTTTTCTGAAATATCCAGACTTAAAAAATTCATGATTAATTTCAAAATCTAATCAGTTATAAAAAAGAATTTCTCACGATCAAAACAAATTGCCACACATTAAACATCACTTCACCAGAACCAAATATTTAGAATTTTGAGAGCAACAGACTAATGGTAACTGGTGCATTTGAAGTAAGAGCATCATGTTAGAATAATCAATAGAAGCTATCAGGATGTAAGGCTCCACTGCTGGTAAATTCCATGCCAGGGCTCCCAAGGGAGCCACAGTAATAAACCCCTACTATATGTGCAGTGCGCACAGCTAATTTGAACTGCAGTTCTTGGAGCCCATAATTCCAATAAAATATTTTGATCTTTTTACCCTTCCACCACAAAGAATTTTTTAGATGCTATATTTAAAGGCACCATGTATACATCTACAAATAGCCATAGCATTGTATCATTGATGTGAATGTTGTAAATTTTAAGCTTGCTGTTTGCAATTTTTCTTGATTGTCACGAAAAAATATATTCTTGGTTCTCAGGGAAGGGTGTTATGCCTATTATGGTAGATTCTTAATCGGGGCAAATCT